AGACTATAGGCTAAGAAGGTAGGGTACCTGCTGGGTGGTCCCCATTATATCCCCAGGCTCTTAGAACAATGTATGGCATTTACTAAGCACTCCTGAGTGAAGATAAAGGAATGACCTCGCCACAGAGCCTCTTGGGTGGGTTGAGCAAGCTTCTCTTTGTAGGTTCATCTACCAACCCTAACACCACAGAGTTGCATGAATACTACACCTTTAATCCTAAGCAACCAACTCCTGAAGGGACATATACTGTAGGACCTACTAGTGTACAATGTCCTGTATTTTTAGATACAAAGACGTTTTAGACCTTAATTTGAGTACTAATGACTAACAGTAAAGTTTTATGGCCTACAGAAAATAGGTCCTTAGCTTCTCAGAGCTTCAGTTTCATTAAAAAAGTGAAGGAGATAAAAAGAAAAAGGTAAGAAGACTATTGTGATGATTATATGAGTTCAATCCTACATCGAGGCGCCTACCACTAAATTAGTCCATGTTCCCTATACCACACTCCTTTTTAATACACTACATGTTTTTCTGTATATTACCAATTCCTTAAAGGCTGAGACCTGAACATAAAAAAGAAACTGAATGTCCACAAATTGTTCTTAGACATTCTATTGTTTCAGCAATCAAAATCTGTTATCGGGCCGGGGATTTAGCTTAGTGGTTTCACTGCCTGCTGTGCAAGCACAAGGACCCGAGTTCGATCCCCAGTACCAAAAAAATAAAAAAAAAATCTGTTATCATTATTGTAATATTAAGCTACAAAACAATTTTAAATATCAAATAGTTAATATATTCTAATGTTCTTAAAGTAGCTATGTATTGGTTTCCCCTGTATTCATTAACATTATTTAGAACTGTGATAATCTATGAACAAACATATTTTTTTTTCAACTCTTACCACCTTAAATGTCTATTTCATTCCAGAAAGCCCTTCATTATAGATACTCTGGAATTCTCAGCACACATTAGATTCAAACTATTGAAGACAATGAAATGAAACTTCATTAGCCAAAAACAAAACATTGTTTTATTTGCATATCTAAGAAATAATTTGATTTTCAGAACTTTAAATTTAAGAAAAAGGCCATATAAAACTACCTCACAAAACCTGCATGCTGTTTTACTACCATGAAAATATTGTTTTGATTCCTAGCCCTGCCACATAAAAAACAATGACCTTTAAATAATTGGAACAGTTTCTCACAATTCAGAGCATTGTTTTAAGATGTTTGGCACTTTAGGTTAACCACTGTAAAGCTTTGAAGCACTAAGGAATAGTCAGTGACATATCCATTTTAAACTGCTCTGACCTGTCATTACAGAGTCATTAAGCAGCATTTTCAAGTTGTAGGCAGATGGCTTTATAACTTTCAAATACAGTAAGACTATCTTCTGAACTTTTTGGGCTACCCTCTGATACCTAGTTAGAAAAGAGAATATTTAAAAAAGAACAAACGAACAAACAAAAGTTATAAAAAATAAACAGAAAATGAAATATTTAAAGCTGTCCTTTGTAAGTTACAAAATTCACTGATAACAATTTTCAGTATTATTCCTGAACATACAGCACGAACTGTTTTAAATGGCAGTATGGAAACCCAACAATCAAATTCAAACTGTGTGTATGTATTCACACATACAACACAAAAATAATTTGGAGGTAAGTTAGATTAAGATGCATGAAAATTAGTTTTTCTTATAAAAAATTAAAGTATGACAAACATTTGTCTTTAAAATTTTCATGTATTACCACTGTTTTGGTCAGTAGATGCAAAGTAAAATACCTTCTCTGTATTATCTATCTTGTTACCTAATTGTGGACTTATATTAAAAAACCAATTTTTAAGTGTGTAAAGTAAATTGATCATCTAGTTCTATACAACTCTTACTCTAATCAGGTTCTTTGTTGACTTTAAAATTATTATTGGTTTCCAGAAAGCTCTGCAGGGAAGCTAACAATACAAACACTTTACAAGGAAATGTTAAACACAAAAGACAGCAACAGAGAAAATGCACACAACTCTGGCACTACATACTTCACTTCTCTGAAGTTATCTATACAAAGCTTAAAGAAGATTAAAATAGTTTAGCTGGATAAGATAGCTACACAGATTTCCATCTTTCCTACATCATCTCCTCTTGGCACTGTGAATAAATTCATCATTTTCTAGAGTACTGTAAATTCCCAGAACAGAAAAAAATTGAAACAAAGTTATAAATGGGATGGTATTTAGAAGTTGATTTTCCAACTGGCCTATATGAAGATGTGAAGACTGGAGCTCCAAAGTTGTAAGAAGGTCAAGAACACAGTCCAGCTTTTATGTCTCCTCCATTACAATGTTTTCTTTACCTTAGGACCCATGAAAATCCAACCATCAATGCTAAAATATTCTCCAAATATAAATTCTACCTAGGACTGCACTATTTTCAGGAAAGGAATAATCTGAGAGTCCAAGGTACTTCACATTTGAGAACCAAAGCAGAGACAACTCAAGTTCTCTTAAGTCTCTGTTATTCTGGGAGCCTTCCAGAAAACAGGATCAGGGCTAGCCACAGACCAGCATGTCTTTTATGGGCCTCTGGTATTCCCATGTGAGCAAAGTCCACCCCCTGCCCACTCTATCACCTCCTTTTCTTATAAGGACCAATAACCTCTTTTCTTCATCTAAGAAAGAAACAACAAATGAAAACAGTCCACCAATATAATCACTTCCTTAGTTCAGACCACTACCTTTTCTCCCATGGTGAATATTCTAAATATAGTTCATGTTCCTGCTGCTTCTCACTGTGCTGTCTTTGAAGAATATAAGTTCCAAAGGCATGTTTCTGTTGTTTTATTACGTGGTGGGACAATGGAAGTAATAATCCTCTTGACTACTTCCCTGATTAAAATGACATCCAGACGATAATACATGGGCAAACATTCTGTAAAATTTTAAGATAAAAATAGTGCCTCTATCATATTAGAATGAGAAAGCATTCCTAATTATAATGCAAGTGTAGAGTTTCTAGGAAATGATAGCCCAAATTAGGGATTAACTAATCTCTAAAGAAACTATTCTTATGACACGACCCAGAAAGGTAAAGCAGTAGCATCTCACATTCAGCAAATCCTGTATTTTTAAATGGTTAGTTTACTTAAAAGAAGTTCAATGAGTGGTATTTCTACACTCAATTTTACAGTGAATTACTTTCGCAGTGTAACTTACTGTATTGCTACTTTTGGATACCATCATTAGCTATTAATACTACATGATTAAAACCTACTAGTTTAAAACTATTTTAAAGTAAAATTATTACAGCTTTCTTAATATTGCCCTAATTTTCCTAAGGAACTTACTTAAACATGGCGCTCAAAATTCTAATTTGTTGTTAAAACAAAAGAAAACCCAATAGAAATGGCTAATAAAACAAACAACTCAGTCTTTCAAACAGCTCAGTTCCAAATTAAAACATACACACTAAGCCTACATAAAATGACATTAGGTACTGTCAAAAAAACAATCATTCAACAATGTATACATCTACAGAAGTTAAAATAAACTGATGTGCTACCTACTGTTGTTAAATCAGCTAGACTTAATGTACAATTGTCGAAATTTCATTGAAAAAGGGAAAAAAGAAAAAAAAAAACTTTTTCTTTAGAATACCAATATTACATCCAAAAAGGGAAAACATACCTTTCATGGAAACAAAATTCATTTTAATTCAAGATGAAAACAATCACTAGAAAAATACTTGATGATTGCACTTTACTTCATTTTTTAGGGCATGGACTAACCTCCAAATAAGAAATTTAACAACCACAAAAATCCAGAGAAGGAACACACTAAAACAACACTCCATTCCTGTTTCTCACCTCTGCTTTCTCTAATTCTACATCTAAAAGCAACCATTCCTAATACCTATAAATATACTTTGACATTTTATATAAATATCCTTTCTAAAAAGCTTAGAGAATCATACAAGTAATTATAATTTAGTAGAACTAAGCATGATCAGTTGGTAAAATGTCACTTGGTAAAAATAACGTACTAGGCCCAATGAAATAAATGTACTTTCAGTTAGGCATGTTATTATTAATAAACTACCAAAATCTTTACCAAATTTTGTATTTCAGCATTCTCTTTCAAGACTCAGCTCCTTAAAATTATACCAAACAATTTTAAACAACAAAAACAAAGCTTTTAAACAGTTTCTAACTTAAAACAAAGACAAACTCATCTATATTTTCCCTTGGGAGATTAAATCTTTCCTATATATTGACTTCCAGCACTGTATCTTTCTCTACTACCAAGTTACACTGGAATAGAAATTAGTTCAATTAATAGAACTGGTTTTAAGGTTAGGAGTATCTAGTCATCTTTCCTCTTAAGTTCTACTAAAAGCCTTTTACTCAAACACCAGCACAATAGTGAAAGACAATCACTTAGACATATTTAAATAAACTGAAGTAAAATTATAAACTGCTGAACGAATACCTGTGGAATATTCACCATTTACTGCTGTTTGTTTTTACTTTCAGCTTTGTCACTGTTCATCAGATTGTACCTAGCTTTATATCACTTTTGCTACTTATTAACAGCTCTGGTCAAAATACAAATAAACAGAATTCACTTAAAAACAAAAGATGGTAACATAATTCAGATTTTCATTTGCTCTGTCAGTAAAATAATTACGGAACAAAATTTTGTCGCATAGCTAAAGACAAAAAACTATAATGCTCTACCCAGGAATATATAAAGAAGTACCAAAACTAAATGTGGCCATACATGATCTAATGTTGAAATCAATGAACCAATGAATACACAGGCAAATAACCTAAGAAAACTACAAATGCCATTTTTTCTCTCCGAATTCTAACACTATATAAAATAAAGTCTATATTATATATGATAAACCTTAAGAAATCATGACTATGTCTGGATATACAACCATTCAGCCAAAGAGTAATCACAGCATTTGAATTATCGAAGGAAAAAAATGGAAAAACTCACTTTATATAGTATCTTGCACCTTCAAAAGTATATGCTTCTTCCCAGCCAGTAGGCAAATCTAAAAAACAATTATAATTGCAATTAGTATTACTTCAATGGGAGAACAAAAAAAGTTTCAATCCATTTTAATTATTTTCATGATTAGCTACTTTCATTTAAGTAGGTTTCTAACTACGAAACAGTGGACTGGTCACAAAATTAACAGTAGATACATCATTTTGGGAAAGACTCCAAATCAAATTTAAAACCACCTCAAAAATGCCAACAATATTAGAGATTACAGTATCTGACATGATCTATATCCTTTAACGATCAGGGTGGAGAGGAACTATGCTCTGGTACCTAAAAAAGGCAAAGGATGATTTTCTTAATTCCAAGTAAAATACCTATCAATTTTGGCAAAACCCCCAAATTGTGCATAACAGGCAACATCTGCCTCTTTAAGATATATTGTGTCTATTTAGGATACTCTTTTTCAGCTACATAAATGAATCCATCTAGGACATGCCAAAGATAAAAAGGAAGAGCTTCTAAGTACTTAATTGGTGGAAAAGAAATCTGACAATGAATACTTCCATGGGTGTGTTTCCATGCCCTAGAAATGAAGTTTCAAGTAATAAACTTGGGAATGGTTGAGGTGAACAATGGCATCTTTCTGTGCTACATACATATTACTTTAAACGACAAGTGGTTTGGGTTTAATCATTAATACCTCTCCCAAAGAAGCCACTGATGTGTGCACAAAACCAGAGTCCAAGCAAAATAAACCAAACCAGAATAAAAAAAAAAAAAATCTATGTGAAAGCAATCAGGGCATCAAATTTTTCTGTCGCGTTGATGTCATCAATTCTGTGAGTGTAATTAGGGTACATTTATATTACACATAATCAAAAATAAGCATGAAATAACTCCACGAGATGATCAGGCTAAATAATTTTAACACCATACTGTCTTCTATGAAATAAATTTGTTATTGTCCATGAAAGCAATGAGGCCATCGAAGTTGAAATATGATTGCAAAACACCAAAAAGGGATACTGAAGCCAAAGACCGCACCGGGGAGCTAAGAAATATGACGGTGTATTAGTCAGAAGTGCCCGAAAAATGTAACCTCATCATGCTTGCTACACCAGCCTTCCCTTTCCTCCTCCACTTCTGTGCAAATTTGGACACATTAGTCATTTCACTGAACTCCAGTGTTTAATAGAAAAGACAGGTTTGTTCAACATCCTGGCAACTTTAAGAGACTCACAGAATCTCAGAGTTGGAGAGAAAGTACCCAGGAGGGCAGCTCCGTAGGACTGCTCCAACCCTCCTCACCTTTCGACCCAAAGTGTTCTCAAGCCTTCCCAATCACCAGAAACACAGGCCCGCCAGTTAAGAGAACACCTTACATTTCAGACAAACAAGTTCCACGAATGTAAACAAAGAATGACAAAAGAAAGCCAGACCAGCACAGAAATGACAAGGAGCCCTTCCTTCTCCAGCCCAACTCATGTTTGGCATTCAAGCGCGCCACCAACGCCACCAGGGAGATGCGTCTCCCCGCCGACGCCCTGCAACCGGGAGCCCCATCCACACCCGGGACACCCCCTTGCTCGCCCACCGCCTCCTAGAGCTGTGCAACCTCGCTGCCGATGCCGGGGACCCTGAACCCGGATCATGGGTGCGACTGCCTCCTCTGGCTCCGGCTGCTCCTCCTGCAGCAAGGAACCGTTCCCTGACACCCCCGAAGTACTCTCCTCCACCGCCAGCCACCTACCCACAAGTCCACCTGGGAGGAGGCGGCGGCGGAGGAAGCAGCCCGGTGGGAGGACGTGAGTACCCGGTGGCGGCGGCCAGGCAGGGTCCCGGGTGCAGGAGGCGAGTGGGTAAGGACTTGGTGAAGGTGGCCGAGGGGGAACTCGGGACCGGTCGCGGGCTTCGGAGAGGGCGTCGACCCTCCTGGGGCGTGGGGGCCCGGCTGGGCTGGGGAGAGGGCGCGGGGAGGGAGCGCCGTCTCCCGGCCGCGACGCAGGGGGCGCAGAGCTGCGTCGCAGCCTCGCGCGCCCCGCCGGGGACCCCGGCCCCGCTACCTGCCGCCCCCGAGGGCGCCGGCCCGGCTACCTGTGCTCTGCCGCCGGTGTCCGGTAACCACGGCCTCGCCGGTGACGGGGTGCAGCCAGGTGGTGCTCTTGGCCTCCTCGCTGCGGAGAGAAGGGGCAGAGACCCGGCGTGAGGGGCGCGGGGCGGCCGGGGCCACTGAGCCCGTCCCCCGCCCTCTCGTCAGCCTTCCGCACGACGCCTTCCGCAGCCCCGCGCCGCCCGCCCGGCTCCTCACTTGATGAAGAAGACGCGGCCGCCCCTGGTGATCCCGTAAGTCCAGGAGCGGGGCAGGGAGCAGATCCACTCCAGGGTGAGATCGGCCGCCATGTCTGATTCCCCAGCCGCCGCCGCCGCCTTCTCCTGCTGCCGCCGCGGCTGCCGAGGGAGGAGGCGCGAGCGAGCGAGAGAGCCGAGGGAGCGGAGAAGCGAGCACAGCCCGAGCGCGCCTCACGGCCCGGCGCGCCCCCGCGCGAGCCCTACCCCCTCGGGCGGCGCCCGCCCCGCCGCCCC